CGGCAAATGATCGAGCACACCAAGACCTTAGTCGAGCAAAAGTGATCATGGGCACGTCCTGGTATCTTGGCGGAGATGTTCTGTTCATTGTGACGCCTGGTCATTCGAAATATCGAGTCGTCAGTATTCCACAACTCATTAGACTCCGCTTGAAACCCCCATTTAGATATCGCGTTGAGAATGGTTACGCTCACGATGCTACAGTGATATATGGTGATACGGATTCCGTGTTTGTGAAGTTCGGCTGTGACACGGTGGAAGAGGCCATGAAACTGGGACAGGAGGCTGCAGCCTTCGTCTCGACTACCTTCATCGATCCTATCAAGCTTGAGTTTGAGAAGGTATGAAAAACCTCCGGAGATGGTCATCATTTGCCGTGTATTGGCAGGTCTACTTCCCGTACTTGCTGATGAACAAGAAACGCTACGCTGGGCTGTATTGGACTAACCCCGTGAAGGCAGACAAGCTTGACGCTAAAGGTAGTAGCACCACGCAGTCTCCCCTCGACTGAGATATCCGGCTTAAGGTATCGAAACTGTGAGAAGAGATAACTGTGAGTTGGTGAAAGTGGTGGTAGAGAACACACTGAACATCATCTTGAAAGAAAGCTCTTTGGATCGTGCTATTGCGTAGGCTCTCTCTTCTTCACCTTTTCAGTCTGCTCGGTTCAGATTCATTCGGAAAACCTTGTCGGAACTCCTACAGAATAAGGTCGATATGTCAATGCTTGTCATTTCGAAGTCCTTGGCAAAGGGCATGGAAGACGTAAAGATTCACTTGATCATTGAGTCTGTCATTCTCTTGACAGGGGGCCTACGCAGCGAAGCAAGCCCATGTGGAGCTGGCCAAACGAATGGCTCAGCGAGATCCTGGCAACGCTCCTGCTATTGGGGACCGAATTCAGTGGGTTGTTCTGCGTGTTGGTTTTCGTGTACATCGGTAAGTAGATATGTCATCATAAGAGCACCCAAGGGAGTAGCACAGTACGAGAAGGCAGAAGACCCTCTATACGTAGACTGATAACCTAGACACCCTGGGATGCCTATTGATGAGTTTCAGGCAGTCGAGAATAACATACCTATAGATGGGCAACATTACATAGACCATCAGCTAAAGCAGCCTTTGATGAGGATATTCGAGAACATTCTTCCCAATGCAGAAGCTGTCCTCTTTACTGGTGAACACATGCGAAAGGTGATTCGAGACTGGAGACTGTGGGAAACCATGTCCATCCCATTATCACTACAGA